ATTTTCGCATTTATAGTACTATTAGTAGGATGTGTCAAGTTATTTAAATAATATTTTTATTTGTATATTGGAGGATTATAATTACAACATGCTTTGCGTCATTGCTTTTGTACTTACAGTCAAGTCGAAAATTACAATTTGCATATTTCATTTACTAACTGCCTCGTTGGCCGAGTGGCCGCAGGTGCTGACTGCCGGGCAAGGAGTCTTGGGTTCGATTCTCGGCTAAAAGCTATGATCACATTTCTTTAATAAAATGTTATTTAATTTAAAAACATAGGTCACAATTTAGTTTTTTCCTATTGCTATAGAATTTTATGATTTAAGTATGAATGCAATTTGTCTTATATATATATGTATACTAATAGGGTAGTTTCCAGGGTAACAAAATTAAAAATCTAATTAGTCCGTCAGTTAGATAATGCAAAAATATCAGACACGTATTTTTTTTATTTTCTCGTATAAAGTTACAATATTTAAATAAAATGGAGTTAAGTTTAGGAGTGGGAGGTAGTTACGTCACAACGTGCTACATTTTGTAGCACGCTGTGACGTCACACAACATTTCAAATCATTATATCGTCGAAAGCATTTAATATTGTTAGAAAAGAAAAAATACGTGCCTAATGTTTTAAAATAATCTACCAGACGGACATTAAAATAAAATTAAGGAAACTACCCTACTCAAACTTTGATCGTGCAGTAGGCCATCGAGCCAAACCATTCGTCCTTTTTGGCTATATAAGTAAACTTATAAATACATGCATGCCCATTTTTACGAACCACAGTTAAATTTTAAAGAACGCCTAATCTAAGGTAGGTTACACTTTACGACATTTTGGTTTTTACCTATCTATATGCGACACCTAACGTATCTGTGTCGAGAGCTATGCTGGCTCTCCCACACTTACAACTACCACTAATGCCCAACTACCTCTTCCACTCCCTTCCCCAAATCTTGAATCCTCAACATTCCACAAACTCCTAATTCCCAAAAGGCCAATTCTAACGCCCCTGGTGTTCCAAGTTGTACCCGGTATATGACAATAGACTCATCCCCTATTACATGGGACTCACTCTTTTCACTATTTATGTTATGACATAAATAGTGAAAAGTAGGTGTTACAGTTGTACAGTGGCATTAAGTGCCGTAATGTGCACCTCTGCCTACCCCTTCGACGCCGATTGCTTACCATCAGGTGATCCGTCTGTTAGTTTACCGGCTTATCCCATAAAAAATAGCTACAAGTATAATGTCTATAAATGTAAGTATATTATGTTTCATTAATTCTGTAGCCAAAGAGGAAATTTGGCTTTGGCTGTCGTTCGACAGATGTTGTAAGAAAACGAATTACTTTTTTATTTAAATGTCAAGAATTTATTATTATTTAAATCTGAATCACACAAAATAATAATTTACTAGGAGATTAAAAATTGTATTGTAATTATTTACGTTGTGTACCGTCATATGTGTATGATGTCACCAAATATACTCAGAATTAAGTATTACGTTTTCGGCTTACTCATGTAACTGTTTGGCGAGAAACTCGACTAGTTTCAAGGCAGCTAGAGGCTCATATTCATGAGCAGCATTTCGCGACACGATACGCGGCAGCTGTCCCGCTGCTATTATCATGAAACTAGTCGGATTCCTCGTCAAATAGTTAAGTTTTAAACCAAAAATATGGCATTTAATTTAGTATGTCTCACGAAGTTTTTAATTTAAACAAATATTTTATCAATTTTTTTACACAGAGAAGGTTAAAGAGGTATATCAGAGAGCTGTTGCTTTTCTGCCTCTTACGACATTTTGAAAATACTTAAAAGGGTTATTTTACATATATTTGATGGCATCATAATGTTTATTAATTATGACAATGATTCTTAGATCCATTTATATGTCTAGATAGATTATTAAAAAAACTATATGTTTAGTTTTTTGTGATAATATGTAGGTACTAACAGAAGAATTTGTTAACGAGATGACTGGACTAGTTTCGAGTCTACGCTCCGGTTTGTCGTGTCGTGTTTTGGGCAATAGAGCTCATGCATGACTGGTGGAAGGGGAAGACTTAAAAGGCTCTTAAACAGTCAAACACCAAGCGGTCACCGGTGACCGCAACCTATTGTTCTTTAATGGGGATGATGACAGGGTATGAAAAATATAATTAGTCCGTCAGTTAGGTAATGAAAAAATATTAGACACGTATTTTTTTATTTTGTCGTATAATAAAACAATACTTAGATAAAACGAATCAAAGTTTAGGAGTGGGGGTTAAAACGTCATTTCTTAGTATAAAATGTACTGAGAAGTGACGTCACGCGACATTTCAAATCAATATATCTTCGAAACTATTCGTTTCTGTGAGAAAATAAAAAATACGTGTCTAATGTTTTTAAATAATCTATCAGACGGACATTAAAATAAAAATTAGTCGTCTACCCTAATAGGTGTCTATAAATACGGTACTCGACGAGTTACATGTAGGGGAATACAAAACTACGGAGTGTGGGATTTTCACTTCACTAAAACCACCCCGGTGGCCACCCTCAATACCTGTAAGGGACACCGGGTCCTCTAATAGACCTGCTCTGGAGCCCCCACAGTGCAAATATTACGGCACATTCCTAGGAACTATGAATCCCTAGCGTGGCTTGAAACTAGTCGAGTTACCTCGTTAAACATTTATGTGAGTTAGCCATTAAACATAATTAATTTTAGTTAAGTTACAATACAAATCAATCTCGATATATAAATAATTCTAAGATTATAATAATTTTTGTTTTTATATATGATTTGCGCATTGTCCATCATTAACATGTAATATATTGAGTACCGTATAAGACTGTGATCTGCATTGTATTATATTATTGTGCGTGTATATAGCCCAAGTTATGTATTTATAACTTAATATATTAAATGGTTTTGTTTATTACTTGTTGTTTTTCATTTTTAACGGAATATATTCCTATTGATTTCTACACTGCCTCGTTGTCCAAGTGGTCGCAAGTGCGACTACCGGGCAAGGGGTCTCGGGTTCGATCGGGTCGGACAAAGTATTGGTTTTTAAAAATCTCAGTAGTAACACGGAGTCTGGAAATGTGCCCGGTATATGGCAATAGGCTCACCCCCTATTACATGGGACTCATAACATAAATAGTGAAAAGTAGGTGTTACATTGTTGTGGCATTAAGTGCCGTAATGTGCACCTCTGCCTACCCCTTCGGGACTAAAAGGCGTGATGTTATGTTATGATTTCTACACTATACTGCCCAATTTACTCTTTTTATAACTGGAAAAATGAGCGTTGTTTCACGCTGCTTTTCTTTGACGCCGTGGTATCACTCCAGTCGAGCCGGCCCAGCAGTGCCGAAGCATAAGCACTTTAAAAAAAAGTAATTTATTAAGAAAATAAGAACGAAATACAGCTTGCAAAGGAACGTAACCTATTTTTGACATTTTATCATCATTCTATATTCAATTTCATCATATCTATGAATCATTGTCTTCAATATACCCGTCTCCCTCTTTTCCTTCAAAATAAACAAAAGTAAAAAAGAGACAATAAATATTGTGTTACATTTACGTTTTATTTTATTTTTTATCAATGTAGTAGATAGGTAAGTTCTTGTTCTTAATTGATTTCTTTATCTTTATTACACACCTATTTAATAGATTACGTACAAACGATTCAACAACACAGTATATTTATAACATTCTAGCTAAACAGTTGATCTTTTGTGAAAAAATTATTGTAAAACAAAAACAACAAATATGGCGATGACAGAAGTAAAACAAAATTATGGCGAATTTTTTGGCGGGAAGGAACCCGTGGAACTAATATTTGAAGATGAGCAGGTAAGGTTCCAATTTTTATAGTAATACTTTTGTGAGACATACTTAATTAATGATTATGTTTTCGGCTTATTGACGTAACTCTTTGACGAGGAACTAAATGAATATGTATCTCTAGCATGCCTTGAAGTCGTGGAGGACTTAACGGTTTGCCTTGGCTCCGGGTCGAAGGGCAGCAGTAGGAACGGGGTGGTTTTTAGTCAGTAAGAGTCTGACACTCCCTCCCGCCTCACACAGCGAGAGAAGTCATTGGATGTTTTCACCCCCCCCCCCCCCCTCAAAAAAGAAACGAAAATCGATCTCAGTCACATAGTGTTGTTGTTGATAATTGGAATTATGATGCAATGGGGAATTGTTTGATTTAATTCATTTAAAGTAATAGGCAATTCTGTAAGATGTCAATTCGAACTCGAAGTGACATATGACAATGAGAATAATATCGACCAATGACGGGCGAGAATGCGATCGAGCTCACTTCGGGGGTTCGATTTGACATCTTAGAGGATAGCCTAACTTAGCGCGAAATTCAAAGTGAATGATAGTCAATTAACTAATAATCGCGGGTTGCTCACGTGAAAATACTGAGAAAAGCTCTACTAGTTTCGAACCACAGAGGGGTTCTTCTTCCTGAGCAGCGTGAGGGGTCGTACTAACACTACTAGTAGAGCTTTTCTTAGTATTTTCAAGTGAGTAACTCGCGATTTTTAGTAAATTTAGTATTTCGCACGATAGTATGAATGATAGTCTATCATATTGATAGTTACTTGCTTTGGTAATTGCTTATTGAAATTGTAGGTATTGGTAGGTATTTATAAACACCCAACCATAAAACATAACAAAATCTCAGAGAGGGATAACGTTTATTAACAGACTTCAAAAAAAGGAGGTTCCTAGTTCGCTATATGTATACTATTTGTGTGTGTATGTCTGTGCGCGATAATGTCGCGATTGGCCGAACCGATTTTGAAGCTGTTTTCAGAAAAGTGTTTGTTACCCTTAGGAGAAGGTTGTGTATATTAATTAACCGACTTCAAAAAAGGGTGGTTTGAAGTCGGTTTCTTAAACGTAATTTATAAATGAATTAGGTATTATAAAAATAGGTTTTTATGAATTACTTTAGTATTTACTTCTTTTTATCTTTCAGTGTGTGGTTTTCGATGAGAAACTAAACAAACAGGCGCCCGTACATTTCCTGGTGGTACCTAAGAAGGTGATTCCGACGTTACTAGAGGTGTCCGCATCGGCTGAAGATGAAAAAGCTTTAGGTTAGTAGATAATTTGAGTAACTTTAATTTTTTTTTAACACTTCATCAGCCCATCATTTCATCTGACAGCTGACTGCTGGAGTGCTGAATCAAGGACCTCCTCTACATTATAAGGGATTGCCATAATCTCCACGGGTGGCAGGCGAGTTGGAGAACGTAGTTTTAAATAGTTCAGTTTTATCAGAGACACAGCTATTTTCATTCTAATGCCTTGTGTGCTATTTATTTCTCCGCTTTCAAGTCTATTTTTCCAAAAATATCTCTTTAATTTTAATTCAAAATTAGCAGTTAGGCATAGGTACAAGCGTGATAAAGATACAAACAAACATATTTTCGCATAAATACAACAAAATTAGTATGATAATCTAAACAGTGACTAATTTTAGACGATAACAAAATTTCGTGTTTATCAAAGGACACGTGAATTTGCAAGGTAACAATATGGCCGCCAAACGGTTTTGGATTCGAGGTGAAACGGAATGTACTTGAACAAGGCTAAGGCCACACAAATATACAGCCTTGGCCTCGGCCTTCCAAAGTTCTTGAACGAGGTCAGCCTTGTTTCATTGAATTCAATGTCGTTTATTATCTGTTACAGTGACGTCACAGACCACAGATAGGTAGGTAATATAATACGTAACGTCGCGTCGTGTGTATATTTTTATAGTGTCTATATACTTAATTTTTCTTGGAGGTAGGCGGAAGTGTAGCATTGGTAAAATTTTTGTCGGGTTTTAATCCCATGTAGACATGGTTTCTGCAGAAACTTATGCTTAGATCCAGGCTTTAATTTACTTTTTGCTGGTTAGATATCTTATCTACCGATAAATTCGCCCCCTATAGGAATTTTTGACACCGGGGCGAAATTATCGACATTAGTTTATCGATCACCGGTTATTATGATATGAATCATCCTTTTTTTTTTGAGGGGGGAAAATCATCAATTTACTTCTCCCGCCCGGGTGAGGCGAGAGTGAGTGTCAGACTCTTACTGACTAAAAACCACCCCGTTCCTACTCCTGCACTTCGAGCCGATGCTTTGGCAACCCGTGAAGTCCTCCGCGACGCCGTATCAGCATTAGCCCTATTGGGCTCAATCCATAGATGGGGACCAATACCACACTACCTACCACTACCTACACTACCAGGCTACCACAGTAGTCTGATAGCTCCTTGAATGAATCATCTCTAGTTTTTAAAGTCACTTCCCTGGCGCGACTTTCTTCACGCCTCTTTCCCTATTGAATATAGATAATAATAATATATTTTAAAAGATACTGGACTCGTCACGTTGTTACATCACCTAAGTGCTCTTATTGGGGAGTTTAGGTTACAGATAAATGATTGCCTAAATTGATTAGTTATTGACTAATTTTATCAATAACTGTTTTTCGCCATATCATCATGATTGTTCAACACTTATCTTTCTTTCTTTGTTTTTAATGTGTGTGCATGATTTTAATTATTTTACTTAGTAAACGTGTTCTGAAATTACCATTTCATGATTGATTTGCACTTTTGCGTGTTACTTACTCATTATGTACGAGTCCTATTGTCTCAAATATGACTGTCCTTGCGTTATAATATCGACATAATTTGTCATACACTTATTTATTAAGGCAGTCGTTAATCAGCAGCTTTGCACAAGCAGGCAATCAGTAGCGTAATCTGGTCAGGCATTATTAATACCCAAAGTGGGTTGTGGAGGGGTAGTCGACCATCGGTTTGAAGAACTACCGACATTCCACTAAATTTTTACTCGAACCGCCAAGACCAAAGTGAAATAATTGTAATTAAGCCACAAAAGGTAGCGACAGTTTTCTTGTAACTGGAGCTAAGAGCGACTTTCTGGTCGTTTAGTAAGAAAAGATAAAGATAAAGACATTTATTTGCGTAAAACATGGTATACAAAGATGTTATAGTTACAATATAATAGATCATCATGTTTTGCTTAATAAATAAAGCATGCAAATTTTAACTTAAAACTTATTTTAACTAACTTACACTCGTAGTTATAAGTTATACATTATTATGTATATTATTCCTTAATACTATAAAAATTATTTTCATTCAACCATACATATAATTTAATTTTAAATAGTCTGAGGTTAAGTGTTTTAAAATAATAACTTTAATTTGTACAAATGATTATTGTATCAACATCTATAATACCAACCACACTTTGCCCAACCCGACAATAAAGTCACGCTTAAACTAGATATTAAAACTATACTAAAAATAAATTAAAACGCAGGTCATCTACTGCTCGTCGCGCGCCGTGTCGCCAAAATGAAAGGCATAGACAAAACAGGATTCAGAGTAGTCATGAACGAAGGCCCACATTCCTGTCAAACTGTTAAACAATTTTACGTGCAAGTCTTTGGAGGGCGCCAAATGCTTTGGCCATTTTCTTAGGAAAATAAAATTTTGATCTCACATTTTTTTGTTTCATTCATTCCATAGAAAACATATACTTACTACATGATCCGATTTCAACCTCTTATATTAGGGAAGGAAAGCCCTAGCCAGGCAAAGTTGTCGCGGAGAACCTAATGGGTAACCGGGGCTCCGGCTCGACGTGCGGGAGAAGGAACGGGGTGGTTTTTAGTCAGTAAGAGTCTGACACTCTCTCCCGCCTCACCCAGGCGGGAGCAGTAATTCGATGATTTCCCCCCTTAAAAAAAAGCCAGGCAAAGTAGTGGGAATGCAGGAGCACATATTGTCACAGTTCATTAGCAGTTGCTGAGAATTTCAAAAACCCATTACCCATAGTCAATGTGCTTCTAAAAAAGTGTTCAAAATTCTATTTTGTTTCAGGCCACTTGTTATTGGTAGCGAAGGAGATTGCTTTAGCTAGAGGTCTAGACAGGACCGGTTACCATGTCATGGTCGATGAGCAGCATAACAGCAACACTCTGAAATCTATACACGTTTTTGGAAGAGCACTGCATCATATGCTGTGGCCTGTTGGGCCTGGGTGTAGGTTATAGACAGAACTTGTTTAAAATAGATTGTACATATTAGAATTAAGATGGAACTAAGGAAGATATTTTTGTTGAGATTTGTGGGACCATATGGAGAAGAAAAGCAAGAGACAGAGTTAAATGGAGAAAACTGGGGGAGGCCTACGCCACTGAGGCGACTTCCACAAACTAATTAGTAACTTTACTGGGAAGTCAAAGTCAAAATCATTTATTTCAATTAGACGAGGATGGCACTTTTGAACGTCAAACAACAAAAATTTATAAGTGAAGTTGCTCATTCCAAGGCGTAGATTCCTATGGAGAAGAACGAGCAAGAAACTCCATAGGTTACTCTTTTTCAATCAGGTTTACAATACAATTCTCTAGTTACATAGTTTTATTGGTTCGATTATGTGAGAATAATGCAACAACTAAATCCAGCCAGAAAGACTGAAAAAGAAAATAACCTTGAGGATAATAAAATAAAATGATACAGTCTGGAGCTGGGAATTTATTTAATTTAATTTATTTTAATTTTGTTTTATTTAGCTAATAAACTTAGGAATTTAAATGAAACAATAAGATTTGAATGCTTGACTTTTTGTGGTAGAATAAAGGCTATTTTTATTTTATTTATTAGAAATTAAGTTATAATTTAACTTATCTGAGATTTGTTACACTTGCTTTTGACTTGTGCTAATACGTAAGACCTTTTAAGACAGTGGTTTCGAACGTCATAGGTAGGACGAAATCGGTCGATTTGGATAGTATCCAGAGTCTCAAAATTAAAAAACTAATTAGTCCGTCAGTTAGATAATTAAAAAATTTTAGACACGTATTTTTTTATTTTCTCGTATTAAGTTGCAATACTTGGATAAAATGGCGCTAAGTTTAGGAGTGGGAGGTTGTTACGTCATAACGTGCTACAAAATGCGGCACGCTGTGACGTCATACGATATTTCAAATTAATATAATTATCGTTGAAAGTATTTAATTTTATGAGAAAAGAAAAAATACGTATGTAATGTTTTAAATTAATCTACCACACGGACAATAAAAATAAAATTTAGGAAACTACCCTATTGCTAGCTAAAATCGGTGTATTTCTACCCAAAATCGGTATTTGAAAAAAAAACACAATATTCAATCTAATTCGTTTATTTATTAAAAAACTTAAGTAGGTACTGACTAATTTATAACAATCACGCTAAGTATAACAATTTATATTCTGGTACCAATATTTTTTAGCCACTGCGAGGTCATCATGGAATTAATTTCAAAATCATAACAATTAGCTGTATTAAAGAGTTGTTTTTGGTAAAGAGACTTGTGATTGATTCAGTAGACAGTCTATTTCGCTTTTTAGTTTTCAAATGATTAACAATTTTTCTGCGACTTTACACTATATTAGAGTGTAAAGTCGTAATTTTCGGTATTTCAGTAGAACTGAGCTCGTAGGAATACCGAAAAATCGGTATGTTCGAGACCACTGTTTTAAGACTTAGTCGTACCTGTTAGTACGTCCTGTTGTTAAATCTGTATGTTTGCAAGTGAGTCCATTATTTGTACAATATTGTTTATTAAAAACTTTTGTAAAAACTAGAAATACATTACATATTATTTATTTTATTATTGAATAGTCTATTTTTCTAAACCCGTTTAATGAAATATTTTTGTTTTTTTTTCTTGAATGGCGAATATTTCAATATAAATTCTGCGCATATTCTGCGTGATACGAAACCCATGTGTCAAAAGAAAATATGACATTTGACTTATTACAACTTGTGGTGTTATCTTGCCTGATTTTTCTCACTCACTCACAATTTCACGAAACAAAAATGGCTAACCGTGAGGTTGAAAAGGCCCAATGGGCCCGTCCTGACGGTGAAACTCTATTCGAGAAGATAATAAAGAGGCAAATACCTGCGGATTTCCTTTACGAAGACGAACACGTAATTTTTATTAATATTTCTTATTAGAAACGCCAATAATTTACACCGGCTGGGTAGCCGTCAGTTTCATATTTTTATCAGCTGTTGTAATATTCTTATTGAAATTTTGTTCTTATTAGCCCTTTACTAGAATCTTTAACTGGCTATTATGATTACCTAAAAACTGAGTCAAAATTGCGACTAAAACTTTGTGCAAGTAACTTTGTATTGTCTTATAGTGTGTGGTCATCCACGATGTGAATCCTCAAGCTCCGTCACACCTTTTAGTGATTCCAAAGAAACCTATCCCTCAGCTCTCCAAGGCTGACGACGACGATCAAGAATTATTAGGTAACTATCACATTTTTTATTATTAATTGACAAAATTAAGGTAAGTACATTAGTTTCCTTATTTTTGTTTCAATGTCTGTCCGGTAGATTGATTTAACCTTTTGAATGCACTGGTACAATTACAATATATTGTCTCGTGTGGATCCACATGAGAGTTTAAAACATTAGACACATATTTTTAATTTTCTTGTAGAATTAAATACTTTTTATGAATTTTATACATTTTGTAGGTTACCAGAATATTGTTAATTTCCATTCCTAAACTTGAATATGTTTTATCTAATCATTTTTAGTTATCTAACTGATTAATCTGTCAAACACCAAGCGGTCACCGGTGACCGCGACCTATTGTTCTTTAATTGTGTCTATAAAACCGGTACTCGACGAGTTAATTACATGGGCAATTTTCATTTTCATTTTTTTTTTAAATTAATAAAACAACCATAAATAACCCTGTTCATATTATAATCATAGCCAATTATGCATTTTTTTTTTTGTTAAAACCATAGTGTGCGATCACTACAATGTTGTTTCAGGACATCTGTTAATCACCGCCCGGAATGTAGCTATAGGAAGAGGTTTTGACAGGACTGGATTCCGTTTAGTTATCAATGATGGCAGACATGGAGCACAGAGTGTCTATCACTTGCATGTGCATATTCTGGCAGGCCGCCAGATGAAATGGCCACCTGGCTAAAACTATAATTAAAAAACCCATTTTCTATTAAAATATGGGGTATTTTAGCCTATGTTTTTAACTGTTCCACGCTCATATTGCCAGCCTTATTAGAGCTAAATTGCCCATTCGAGGGTATTATAAATACTATATCTCCGAACCTAGGCAAAGACTACTTCATATTTTTTTTTATTGGGTGGTATGATTATTTCGCTAATATTTTGCTTTCATTTCAATATTATAATAAAACATGGGTTTCAAGGTGATTGTTGTTTTATTTAAATGATATAACATTCCTACTTTTTATTAAGATTCTTATGTTGTTACATCACAGTTGTCTTGGTTACAATCTTACAAGTGTGCTAAAAAGAACAAATACCTACAAAATAAGGCACAACATTTACTATAGTCTAGACAACTAATTTTATAGCTAGTAGTAGTTATTTAAATATTCCCATTAGAAAAAAAAGTCTGGCTGTGGTTCCCCAGCAGGAAATGTTTTTGTGAAATAATTTAAAAACTATGAGCGCAACAATTACAGAAGCCGCAACAATAATTATCTATAAGATTCAAATGACCACTTTCGACAACATCTGGCCTGGGTAACGCACACGTCTCATCAACAGCCGGAAGACGTCCACTGCTGGACAAAGGCCTCCCCCTTAGTCCTCCACGTTGAACGACAACTCGCCACCTGCATCCACTGGCTCCCCGCAATTCTGGCGATGTCGTCGGTCCGTGGTCTCCACCCAAGGACTTTCTTGGCCCATCTGCCGCCAGTCCTTCGAGCAACGTAGCCTGCCCATTGCCAATGCAGTCTGCAGATTTCGCGAGCTATGTCGGTAACTCTAGTTCTTAAGCAAATTTCCATATTTAGGATTTTGTCGCCGCAAAGAAACCCCGAGCATAGCTATCTCCATCGCACGCTGAGCGACTTTGAGCTTCTCCAGAAGGCCAGAGGTCAGAGACCACATCTCGGTACCATACGTCATCACCGGCAACACACACTGGTCTTTAGCCACGCACACGTCTACCTTCCACTGACAGCTTGAATGCACTTAAAATAAAATTGTAAAAGGTTGGTGCGTGGAAGATAAATAAGAAGAACTTAAATAAGGGAACTTAATATGCGCAATAGAACCCAGTACGTAAGGTAAAATAATAGTTGAAAGTTCATTGACTCCATTAAACATAAGTAGGTAGATTAAAACTCGGGAAAGGACATAGGATTTTATTTTTTTTAAGGGGGGAGGCGGTAGGGAGTGTCAGACTCTTACTGATTAAAAACCACCCCGTTCCTTCTCCTGCACGTCGAGCCGGAGCCAAGGACATAGGATAGGAGCGAGAAATCCCCGAACAACCCACAAATCGGGAACTATGTGGGTGAAAAAAAAAATGCCAGAAGTCACTAATCCACGCGGACGAAGTCGTGGGCAGAAGTTAGAAGAAAATATATTTTCTTCTTGCGGATTCTTGCGGATCCCCGCATTTAGACCCGCGACGGGTTAAACCTAAAACATTTAACAGAAATATTTTATCACATCATAATTTCTTTTTACAGTCGAGTCGAATGTTTTTGTTAACTACCTTCCGTTGTGACGACATTTTACTGTTTTTCGTTCTCTTGAAACAACCATTATCTCGTATGTTGCCAAAGAAAAAAAAATAGGTATACCCACCCATTTCGTTTCCGAATTTCGAATAGATAGTATTAACAAAGTTCTGATTGCTAAATTATATTTGGGTGGGAAGTTTATACTTTCAAACAAGGAACCCATTGTAGGCAGATTCGTTCAAAATGCACAACCTATCTTCATTATTTTGGGTTCCCTGTTGCAAATCAATATAAAAAGTGGGTTTTTTGCTAAAGCTGTAAAATTGTCTTACTTCAGTAGTCCAAGAGAAAACTTATGCCTTCCATTTGTGTTACCTTTGCTATGGAAAGACCCTAGTATTCATGAAAATGATTGTTATTATACTTATTTCGTACTATTAGGATTAGGAGACCTTAGCTTATAATATGTCGGATATAATAGTCGGCACGATTGGCGCTGTGGCTGGACAACTGGCTGCCGCGCAACATGACGCGGTTTCGATTCCCGCATGGAACAACTCTTAGTATGATCCACAGATTGTTGTTCCGGATCCGGGTGTCATTTATTTGTAAACGCACCGACGACACAGGAGAAAATTCTAATTTGTGGCAAAGTTTAAAAAAAAAATACAAAAAACAAGGTACCTAAGTATTTTATATTTCAGCGAAGTTAGAAAAAAAGGACATTCATTCATTCCGTCTGTTACGAAAGCTATTTCACATTCGAAAGCTCTACCACATTCAGTTTGTCCGGGTAATTTGAGTACACGTTTATTATTATTATTACTACTACCTACCTATTATAGGTGATAATGAAAATGATGTAGAATTTAAATTGGGAATCAATAGGGTATTACAGTCTAATTCAAAAAGTGTTTTAATTTAATCTGTTATTTATAAAATACCACAAAAAAAATATAAATACATTTTTTTTATTCCAATTATTTCATAAAAACGTGTTTTAATTTTACAATTCAAATTTTGGCGCGAAAACGCCAATTCTCAGGCCAAATTCAAAACGGAAATTTCCCACCAGAACACACTGCACATTTGATTAACCAATCTAATTCAAGAGATTTTAAATTCTTCTTAGTTTCCGCTTCATCATCATCAGCCCGTGTTCGTCCACGTTTGTGGTATCTGTGACGAGAAGACGAAGAAGAGGAGAGAAGTAATTGAATTTCCTATAAGCTGCCCAGCCAAGCTGTATCCTTCTACGGTCCTCCTTCTCGAGGTTCCGCTTATAATAGTGGAATTTATTACTACCAGACACAAAAGTTACGGTTTTCAGAAACAAAATCCAGAAGTAAAGTTTACGCGGAATGTCTCAAAAAAAAAGTTAATATTGTTATTGGGCTGGTAATGATATAGGTACTGGGAGTTTTTATAAAGGGAAAGGGTGGCCTCAAGTTATTTTCTCTCCCGCCGTAGACGCGCCTTGAGGCAGCAGCTGATCTGTTGCTTCCATAGAAGAGGCTTGCAGATGATTGACAGGGAGAATCATACGTCCGCTGTATCAGGTAGACGTTAGCGTAGTGTTCTACGTGTGCCACTCGAAGAAGGAAAGCAACCTCCTTTTTTTTTTTTTTTTTTTTTAAGGGGGGAAAATCATCGAATGACTGCTCCCGCCTGGGTGAGGCGGAAGGGAGTGTCAGACTCTTACTGACTAAAAACCACCCCGTTCCTTCTCCTGCACGTCGAGCCGGAGCCCCGGTTACCCGTTAGGTTCTCCGCGACTCCGAATCGGCATCGGCCCTATTGGGCCCCATCTGTGGTGGTCTGATGGCTCTTTGAGGCGCGCGCGGAACGCGACGCGCCGTACGCTCGGGTCTGTTTCTGGTCGGACGGGGAGCCACCCATGCTCGCCGTCCGCAGGCCCGCGCTTACGGTGGCCGGAGATCGTCCCGCGATCCCCGACGCCCGGTGTGTCCTTCGCGATGGCTGGGTTGCGAGGAGGCAGCGCTTCGCTGCCTCACGCGTCCCGCCTCCTCCTTAGCCAGCATGACTGCTTCGCAAAAGGAGGAGACGGCATCCCAGTCCCCCTCGCTCCGCATCATGGCCTGAACTAGGCCCGGACGCGAGAGGTCTCCATCGCCGATCACTTCCCTGAGGGCACGGCGGTGCTCAGCCCACGCAGGGCATTCCGCAACAGTGTGTTCCACCGTGTCCTCAGGGTGGTCCTCGCAGTGATGACACCCGGGCGTTTCCTCCCGCCCCATCAGACACAGGTACCTCCCGAAACTTCCATGTCCGGTGAGGACCTGCGTCAGGCGGTAGGTGAGGACGCCGTAGCGTCTCTCAAGCCACTCCTCAAAGAGGGGACTTACCGCTGCAATGGCAGCGAGCCCAGCCCTCGGTTGCGACAGTCGTTGCTGCCATTCCGCCATGAGATCGCGCCGGAGCTCATCCCGCCACGCACTTATCTGGCGCGGCAGCGGAGTTTCCCCGGCGACGTGCCTCCGCGCGCATGCGATACACGCGCGCGAGCACCTTCGCCTCCAGATCCCACGGCGGTAATCCGGCAAGGAGGTTCGCCGACTCCCCAGAGATCGTGCGGTATCCGCGGATCATTCGGATCGCCATGACCCTCTGTGCCATAAGCAGCGCCCGAGCGGGCCGCTGCAGCAGGTTCGGCGCCCAAACAGGGGCGCCGTAGAGGGCCATGGACCGCACGACCCCGGCGTATAACCTCCGGCAGGAGGCGTTTGGCCCCCCGAGGTTGGGGAGGATGCGCTTAAACGCAGCCCCCACCCTCGCCAACTTTGGAGCCAAACGTCGGAAGTGCTCCACGAAGTTCCATCGACTGTCGAGGACGAGTCCCAGGTACTTCATCGCCGTCTCGACGCCGATGGTAACCCCTCCCGCCATTATTTGAGACCCACCAGGAGGTGGCGCATTCCCGCGGCCATGAAAACACATGGCCTCGGACTTGTGGAGCGCCACCTCGAGTCCCAACTGCCGGATTCTCTCAACGACTGTCGCAACCGCTGTCGCCATTAAATCGGCCGCCGCCTGGTGCGACCTCCCGTGCGCTAGCACCAGCGTGTCGTCGGCGTAGCATATCATGCTAACGCCGTTCGGGAGGTCGGTGCGCAGCACCCAGTCATAACCGATGTTCCACAGGAGCGGCCCCAGAACCGAACCCTGTGGAACACCGCGTGACATCTCTCGCCGGTTCCACTCGCCCCGGTGACCGGGGTAGATGACGGACCTGTCCGTCAGGTATGCCTCGATTACACGACGGAGGTAGGTAGGCACCCGATGATATCGGAGTGCCTCCAAGATGCAGCTCCAGGGCAGGGAGTTGAAGGCGTTGGCGATGTCCAGAGACACCGCCACTACGACCTTACCCCTGGACACTGCAGTCCCCGTCGTCCGGTCCCTAACGCGCATGATGGCGTCCACCGTGGAGCGCCCTCTGCGGAAGCCGAACTGGCCGTCCGATAGGTCCGGCCCAATATCCGTCAGGTGCGCGACGAGGCGGTTCGAAATGATTCTTTCGAAGACTTTCCCCACCTCGTCGAGCAGCACTATGGGCCGGTACGCGGACGGAGAGTCCGCAGGGCGCCCCGTCTTCCGCACGAGGACCAGTTTTCCCGCTTTCCAGAGCAGCGGGAACTGGCCTCTCTCCAAGCATGCGCTGTAGAGACCGATTAATCGAGGCCTGAGAGCCTCTGAGGCCAGGACCCATGCTTTGCCATGCAAGCCGTCGGGTCCTGGGGCGGTGTTCTTGGCGCCCATCCGGCGCACCGCCGCTCTCAGTTCTGCCTCGGTCACCTCTGGGACGATGTCGTCGTCGTCGTCGCTATAGCCCGCGTCGGGCACCGCAGGGGGCGGAGTCATATACGGAGGGGTGAAGCCCCTCCACAGCCGGGGGAACAGGGCGCCAATTACCTCCTCAACGACCTCTGGCCGGAGACTCTGAGTGAGCGGGGGAGCCCAAGCGCGAAGCTTGTCGCGTACCATGCGGTACGGGCGTCCCCACGGGTCTCTATTCAGAGTCCCCAGCATCTCCCGGCGGGCCTCCTCCTTGGCCCGCAATATCTCCGCCTTGAGGACGGCTTTCGCCGCCCTGTATCCCTCATACAACTCCGCCTCTCTCGCCTCCGCATTTGGAGGACGGAGACGGCGCCTGCGGTGCCTAGTGTACTGGCGTCGCGCAGCAGTGCACGCCTTGCGTAGAGCTGCCAGCTCTTGCGACCACCAGTACACCTGGCGCTTTTGTTGCCTCGACCGGATCCGGGGCATCGCCACGTCACAGATCCTGGACATGGCGTCCTGGAGCCACTTGGCCTCATCGTCAATGTCGGCAGGCCTGACCGGTGGTATCACCCAGGCCTGCACGATGGCGGCTTCCAGGAGCAGCTCCCGGTCCAGCTGTTTCAGCGCCCAACGCGGGCCACATGGGGCCTGTCTGACCGGCGGATCCGCGGACTCGGCGGAGACGTTGAACCGGATATACCGGTGGTCGGAGTACGTCTCCACCTCCTCCATGACACGCCAGTCAACGATACGTGGTGACAGAGCAGGGCTGGCGAACGAAATGTCCACCACCGACTCGCCCTGCATCCGCACGCACGTAGGGACAGAACCCCGGTTCAAGACGACTAGGCCTGCCTCAAGGGCCCAGTCTTCCACCATCCTACCCCGGACGTCGGTGAACCGGGAACCCCAAGCCAAATTCTTGGCATTGAAGTCCCCGAGGACGAGCACGGGGAGGGAACGGAACCCGACGACGACTGTGACCAACTCCATCAAGGAGTTGTGGAACTCGGCGAGAGTTCGGTTCGGAGAGAAGTACACGCCCACCACAGCGAGCTCTCCGAACCGTGCTGCGACACAACCCCGGCCTCTTTGAGCTGCCTCAAGAGTCGGGGTACCCGGCGGCGGCCGATGAGATGATGGTCACCGAGCCGTCCAGGTCCGCCACCCAGTGATCCCTGGGCGGGACAAAGTACGGCTCGGAGACCACGGCGACATTGATCGACCACTGCGCCATGCTCTGGAGCAGGAGATCCTGAGCAGCGGCGCAGTGGTTAATATTCGCCTGGAGGAGGCGGAATGGAGCCATTATTGACAGTCCATTCCGATCTCCTCAGTAGCGGCAGCGGCGACTGCGGGGCAGCGGCGGCGGCGGCGGCGGAAACGGCAGGGGTGGCGGAGGGCCTACCTTTGCCCTTGGGTTTGGCAGGAGGGGAGCAGCCCTTGCTCCCGACCCGGTGATTGGCCGGCTTGCCAGCCGCCGCACATGCGTTGCAGTGCAGCGGGGCAGTGCAGGAGCCGGCCCTGTGACCGGGCCGACCGCAGCGGAAGCAACAGTCGCTGCGGTCCACCTCTGAGGTGCATTTGGCGCTCACGTGCTCCCCCACGTGACAACGGTAGCACCTCAGAGGCCGGGTCTCGAGCAGCTTTACCTGCGCCGAGACCCATCCCACCAAGAGCCTTTTGCCCTCCTTCAGCTTCTTGGCCGCTGTGACGGGGCAGCTCACCACCACCGTGCGCAGCCCCGAGTTGTCCGGACGGATGGTGCCCGCCTTGATCTGGTCAGCAGGGCACCCTCCCGTCCTGGCCACAGCGGCCACCACCTCACTTTCCGTGACGGAGTCGTCCAGGCCCAATATCCGGACATCCACACATTTGGTGGGCCTGGACACGCGGGCCTCGTCTGCCCCGAGGCACGCCCTAAGCCTCTCAGCCAGGGCGTCGGCCGACGGGCCACTGGCCGCGCCGGGGACCTCCAGTAGACGGGCTCCGGTAGCGGTCACCTTGACCGCAAACCCGTCCGGGGCCCCGAACTCCGCAGGTGTTACCGCCCCCTTGAGCTTGGCGAGGACGTCACCATAGGTAACGCCCCTATTGACCGCCTCGGGCTGCAGTGTAATAACTACAGCCGCGGTCTTAGGGGCGAGGAGCAAGGCAGCAGCGCGTTTCTCCCTGCGCTGCTGCTGCCGTCGCTGCCGCTGCGCCTTTTTGCGGCGCTTTCGGCCCTCCCTGGCGACTCTCCTCGCCTCGCCGGCGATTTGCCAACCGCCGCCGTCCTCCACTCGCGGGGCGGGTTCCGCCGCCGCTGCTGCAACTCCAGCTTGCCGGGCTGGAGTGTCCCTCCTCTTTTTGCGCCTCATGGGCGCAGGCGCCATCGGCGCAGCTGGGGTCTGCGCCGGCGGGGGCGCCGAGGGCCTCGCGGGAGGAGGCGCCCGCGCCTTTGCCGGCGGTTGGGGGCCGCGGCCAGCCTGACCAGTGGAGGTCGGAGGCTTGGCCACAGCAGCCGCGTATGAGCCCGATGCCGCGGGCGGGGAGGCCCGGCTCGATGCGAGCGGGGGGCGCAAAAGCCTGCCCTCCAGCACGTCAAAACGTCGCTGGAAGGCAGCCATCTCCGCTCGCAGCAGTCCGACTACGTCGGACTCCGCCGGGGGCGGGGGGTGACTGCCGCGAGCAGCGGCGAGCTCGGCCCTGGCCGTCCGCAGCTCGGCCTCCAGGGCCGCATTGGAGGCCGCCAAGCGCGCCAGCTCCCGCCGCATCTCGCCCAGCTCGGAGCGCACCTTTTCTGCAGTGGGCACCGCGCACTGCTCCAAGGCTGCCTCCGTAATAGTGGCCACCGCCGCCCTGAGGAGGGAGAGCCTAACCGGCTGGGATTTCCCCATAGCCAGTTTATGGAGCACCTCCGTGATGGCCTGTCGGAGGTGCCCGGAGCCGCTCGCGCTCTCGGAGCCCGACTCGCCCTCCGAAACCTCCACGCCGGACATCTCGGCTGCGGAGGACTCTGAACGGGCAGCGCTCGAGAGAGCCCTGCCCTCCCGCAGCTGCTCGGCTGACTCCACGCAGGCAACTGGTGCCGGTTTCCGGCGACCGCCGCCCTTGCCGCCCCTACCCCGCGCCGCCGTTGGGACTTTAGGGGGAGGCGCCTGCGCGCCGGAGGACGGGGACGAAGCGTCCTCCTCCAGCCTGGGACGCTTAAACGTCCCCGTCACGCGACGGCGTGAGCCCTTCGAGCTCACGCTCAGCCGATCCGCCAGTGATGTGTCGGACTCAGGGTCCGACACCATCGTAATTGATGCCCGTGTGTGGGGCATGCTAGATGTGTCCAGCGTCTCCCCACGGGCGCCAGAGCCCCTTGGGCTCCCCTCTACTACGTCTGCAGGTGAGCCAAGCTCACCCGCACTCTCCTCCTCCGACAGTTGTGGTTTTGTTTTTTTTAGATTTTACTTTCTCCATACAGTTCCCACGAGTATGGGGGAAATATTCGGTCCACCCAGGCAGTGCCCCCTGTACCTGGGTAAGTGTTCATTTGTTTCCCAACTAGAGGTTCCACTGGTCCCCTAGCTGGGGGTGCGCTCGCGACTGACACTACTCCTCAGCCATGCATACTCTCGCCGCGCACCAGAACTTAGTATTGGAGGAATTTTTTATAGAGGTTATCTTCCTCGCGGTCCGGGCGACCAAGCCAAGACCCTCGTCCCGTTCAGAGTCACAAAACATGACCGTGACCTCCTTACGGGTTACGATATCGACGGCTGCAATCGGGGACAGCTTGTGTCCCGATGCTGCTCGCTGGCAGGGTGAGTGCACAACGAGCACCGCCCTTGCCTCTACGCCACGCTCTCTGCTATGTCCAGAGAGACGGGCGGAGAAACGCCCCTCGGAAGCGCGGGCTATGAGCCTCCGCACACAGCCCGCCGCCTCCAGAACCCTATCGGGTTCGCCCGCCCAGTCCAGAAGTCTGCTGCGGGCGACAGTCACTCCAACCCTATCACCCCCGCTAGGGAGACTGTCGCCCGCACCCAGGGTGCACCACGGGGAGGTCTTCTGGCACCGCACCCCAAAGCAACCTCCTAGGGCCGTTATCGTGGTGGGACCTGTGACCTGTCACCCAACATAACAAACATAGCGGCGATGGCCGATGCCGGGTGCGGTAAGGTGGAGCGACGACATCGCCAGAGTTGCGCGGAGCCAGTGGATGCAGGTGACGAGTTGTCCTTCACCATGGACGACTAAGGGGGAAGTGTTTATCCAGCAGTGGACGTCTTTCAGCTGTTGATAATGATGATGATGATGATGAACCCAGATCTCAAGTAAATTTTATTCTTATAAGAGTATTGTTGGAAACAATGGAAAATACAATTTACTCATATTTGTGAAAAATAATTAATATTTCTGTGCTGCAAATCAAGCCTCCATGTGCAATAACAAAACGTGATATTAAGAAAAAAAGTGCGTTCAACTTTACCAAAAATATTGATTTCTCATCTGTCAAACAAGAAAGTTGTTTTTACCGCGGTGTTTTCAGTAAATCAGCGAAAATGTGTGAAAATCACGTTATAAACTCTTTATTTACGGGCTTCCAAAGTAATATGGATAAGGAGCAAGAAATACGAGAGGTACGCGTGGTTTTTTGCGTATACAAATTATATGTTTTTGCTTCTGATACTTATTTTGTATTCGTGTCGAATTTTGTTGTGATAATAGTGAAAATGCGATGAAAAGTTACATTTGAAATTAACTTTGGAGTCGTAGACAGTGTAATCTAGCGACTAGGAATGAAATAGGTGGGAAAACCAATAAATTTTAACACGTTTGTTATAATGTAGGTTATAAGAAATATCTGCAAGGATGTCGGTCAAATATCGCGGGAAGCGACCACAGTGCTTCAAGTAATCCACCACAATGAAGCCGGCAGTAAGCATGGAAACTCTTTTGTAACTAAAGAGGTTGTGTGACAATTATTTACTATAATAATCATTATCTTTTCAGTCAATCCTGCTTGCCTTAAAGCTAGGGAATTGTTTGAGAAGGCTCGGGAAGGATACGCCAGACTGACTGAAGCTCTGCCTCCTAATGATTACTACAAGTATGTAGTTTTTTACACATATTCAAATAAAACTTCACAGTTTCTCTGAAGAGTAGCCAGAGGGCCATTTTACTTTAACACCAGCTGAGGATTTCCTAAATCAAATTAAAATAAAATTCGTACTAAGAATAAAAATAGTTACTTTACTTCGTTAATAATGCATAATTTAACATATTATTGTGTATAAATAAATAACAATTAAAAAAATACTGCTTTGTTGGCCAAGTGGTTACAAGTGCGACTGACGGGCAAGGGGTCTTGGGTTCGATTTCCGAGTCGGGTAATGTACTACTAGGTTTTTTTAAAAATTCTCAGTCTGTAATTGTACCCGATATATAGGCTTACCCACTATTACATGGGTCTCATAACATAAATAGTGAACAGTGGGTGTAACATTGACAGTGGCATTAAGTCCCGTAATGTATACATCTGACTACCCCTTTGGGGATAAAAGGAGTGATGTTATAAGAAAATTATGTTATGTTATGCATTTAAAAGTTAATGAAAGGACAAGCTAAACCTGTAAATGGTTTAGCTAACTATTTCATTATAGTATATACTGAATTATGTATTGTATAGGTGGATGTTTATTTCTTAGGAAAAAACTAGATACTTAAAATGTAGAAATTAACAAAAAGATTTTAAATGGTCCTTTATTACAAACTAGACAGAATAATAGAATAAAAATATTCTTACATATTATATGATCGTTTTCAGATACCAGGAACACTGGCGCACCATGACACAGCGCTACTGCTTTCTGATTGCGCTTACTATCTGGTTGGAGACAGGGATACTCGCCACACACGACACTATTGCTCAAGTGCTCGGCAGTAAGTGGTTTTTTTTTTAAATATTGCTCCACATGGATTTTCTCCTGTGTCGTGGGTGTGTTTATAAACATACAAGTTCACATACACAATGACACCCAGACCCGAAACAACAATATGTGGATCACACAAAGTGTTGTACCGTGCGGGAATCGAACCCGCGACACGTCGCACGGCAGCCGGTTGCCCAGCCACCGTACCAACCGTGCAGTCTATTGGCTTTTATAATCATCAATGCTATTTTTGTCTTTTAACCTTTTGAACACCAGAGAAAAAACACATGAACTTGCCCTCAATAAAATAAAATATATAAAAATAAAAAAAATAAAAAAGCCTTATATTTCCCAATGAAAAAGAAATATACATTTCCAAAAAAAAAAATGCCCTCAATACCGAGCCACAAATTCCACTCAAATTTCTACGATAGAAATAGGGATTTTAATAGGAAATCAAATTGTTGATTTCATTTTTTTGGGTCTTCTTTTCTGTGATGGCATCCAGGGACAGTTTTCGCTTGTCACATATACATGTGACATTGACGCTCAAAAGGGTAAAATGGGTGGTCCAGAGTCCAGATATTTAATAAACTGGACAGTACCATATAAAATTTGTGTTTTCTAAATTATGAAATACTAGCTTTTACCCGCGGCTTCGCTCGCGTCACAAAAGGATAAAATGTAGCCTATGTGACATATACCAATACACACAGCGCCATCTATACCAACACTTTTGTTTTCAATCGGGAATATCAAATTTTTCCGAGATAAAAAGTACCCTATTATTTAATCCGGACTTCTAACTTTATGTTTGCAAAAATTCAAAGCAATCGGTTTAGTAGTTACGGCGTGAAAGCGGAACAAACAAACAAACTCACTTTCCGATTTATAATATAAGTAAGGAAGTAAGGATAAGGATTTATTATTTCTACACTGGTGACGGTTGTGTATGTAAAACTGCTATGATGAGATCTATAAGCACCATATACTGAGAAATATATTATGTTACATACTATTGCCAAGTTCCATGATGATACTACAAATTAGAAGAGTGTGCAATTCAAATTCTTAGATTTTGTTATTACAAGTCTACTAATAAAGAATTTTAAAAACATCGGACAAAACTATATAATTTTTTTATAATGATTTCAGTAAGTGCTCTTGAAAGGAAGACTGGTTTCCACCTGGATATAGAGGATTACCTCAATGGACTGCTGCAGCTGTGTTCTGAACTGGTGAGTATATTTCTGGGTAATACTAAAGACTATGAGATATAGAGGATGCTCAATCCAGTTCCCCTGTGTAACATGTTGCGGGTTTAATAAAAGCACGCAACATACATTTTTTTTTATTAAAAAAAAGTAGAATGTGGCTGTTTGCTGGCTCACATAGTAACTAATTCGACGAGGAATACAAATAAAGCTACGATAAGGGTTGTATAGTTTTGACATTGAATAAGTATTGAAATTTTATTGGATTGAAATTAGATTGACATTGAGATTGGTTTCAAGAGTAAGTACCCAGGTTATATAGTCCGGTCAAATTAGACCAAAAAATAAGAGTAAAGTTACCTAAATTCCCACCAAGCTGAAAATCGGTAAGATTGCTTAATATATCATTAAAAACCAAATTTGAAAGTTCCCCATCTTTCCCCTATAAGGAAAAAATTTTATTCAAGATCAAAGGTCAAAAAAATTAATTTTTCGCGATTTTCAGCAAAACGGTAAGTTTTACCATAAAAATACCGATTTTAAATTTTGATATATAACGATTCAAAATTTGTAAAAGTTGTAATCGTCATAATATGCACACGTTTCCTCGCCACCTATGAGGTAGTGTACTTGGCGCGATTTATTTTTACGTGGTTTATACTATGTATAAATAAATGTTTATTTAAATTTTCCAGTCTCGTCTGGCGGTAAACTCAGTAACTCGCGGCGACTTCGAGAAACCGATGCAGATCTCCAAGTTCGTCATGGAGTTGAATGCAGGCTTCAGGTAATCAATAACACAAATATTAACTTTGAGGGTCCAACGTTCGGTGTCAATAAAGCGAATTTGGATAATTCTAATAAGTGTGGGAGAGCCATGCTTCCATGAATGGGCCGGCTCGACTGGAGTGATACCACGACCTCACAGAAAACCGACGTGAAGCAACGCTTGCGTTGTGTTTCGTCGTGTGAGTGAGGTTACCGGAGGCCCAATTACCTTCCCCTTCTCCAATCTCCCCAATTCCAGAATCCCCAACGATCCTCAAACTCCTTATCTCCCCGGTAACGCACTTGCAACACCCTTTTTTCACTATTTATGTTATGAGTCCCATGTAATAGGGGGTGAGCCTATTGCCATATACCGGGCACAATTCCTTAAGCCGTGCTACTACTGAGGTTTTTTTTAAAAACCCAGTAGGTAATAAATTGCCCGACCCGGGAATCGAACCCAAGACCCCTTGCTGAGTCATAGTTGCGATCACTCGGTCAACGAGGCAGTCTTACACGTTTAAATAACTTGTTTTATAAATAAACTAGCTACTTCCGTGCGGTTTCACACGCTCTGCTCAGCTCCTATTGGTCGTAGCGTGATGTTTTATAGCCTATAGCCATCCTCGATAAATGCGCTATCCAACACAAAAAGAATTATTCAAATCAGACTTGTAGTTACGGAGATCAGCGCGTTCAAACAAACAAACTCTTCCGCTTTATATAATAGTATAAATATAAGATAATCATTATATTTTTATTCCAGGCTACTAAACTTGAAGAACGATCACCTGCGCAAACGCTTCGATGTACTCAAGTACGATGTGAAGAAAATAGAAGAAGTTGTCTATGATCTCAGTATTAGGGGACTACGGCCGAAACCAGAGCCAGTTGTCGATGGTTAAACTCATACTTTATCGTACCAATTGTCTATTACAAGCTAAAATATCTAAATTTTTTTTAGAAAAATGTAGTACACGCTAGGATTAATTAGTAATATTTTTTTATAGTCACCGGCTAGGATTTTGTCGTAAGTCGTGCGTTTACAAAGATACAATATGGTAGTAGACAGTGAATGAAAATAAAAAATGTTACAAGTCCGTCAGTTAGATAATGAAAAAATATTAGACACGTATTTTTTATTTTGTCATATAAGAAAACAATACTTTGATAAAACGCAGTTAAGTTCAGTAGCTGTAGCCAAATGCCATTTCGCGCTTGTCTACATGTAAAATAGAAAACCAAATTATATGGAATTGACGTAAATTTTGACACTTGTAAGTGTCATCCCCATACATTTTGATTTCTACTCTCTCTCCCCTCCACTGTCGACGCAAAATTTCGCAATATGGCGGATATGTTAACGTCATCGTGGGTGGGCTCTCGCGAAATCGCCGCGGCCCATTAAAATGACGATATCTCCAAAATATTGTATGAAAGATGTATATTAAGTTTATGTATTCATAATCTGTAGTTTATAGGCTACATCGTGAGTATAATTCATGATGATTTTACCAAATGATATATTGTTAATTCTAAGGCAAAAGATGGAGAAAGTGGAGAAAGTCGTTGTAAGAAAATATTTTGCATGGTATTAAAAAATTAATCAATTTTCTCAAATTACTTTTATTTTATTTACAAAAAAATATACTGTTGAATCATAATCCATTAAAAAAAAACACGCTTTCATACTGTTTGTTTACACTACAAGCGTAACAATCACATGCGTCGTTTCTGCTACCTGAGCGCAACACAAAAAAAGGGTCATGTTTATACTTCAATTCTGAGAACACTGTGGGCCAAGTGGCAAAAAACAAGACTCATTCTGTAGTTGGGTTCGTAATCTTATTACAAACAAAGGTTTAGCTGTTAGACATGTATACTTTACAAGTATTGAACAAAAAACTAAGCACTTGAAAATAAGCGCTAAAAAACGTGCTCCCAAACTTTGCATCACAGAGGAAATTTTGTTAGAAGTTTTTCCAATATTAATTTATATTCTACAATTTGATAATATTTACTCATAAAAATATAATAATTAAGCAACTAAATATCAAAATCATTCAAAAATTAAAATCTAAAACAAACAATTTCTCTACAAAAAGTAGTAAGGAAGCTAACATAGTATGGACGGAAACAAAACAGCACGTGCACGTTTTAAAAAAATACTAATAAAAGACAAAACAAAAATGCACGCAAGAAACAATATCTAATAAGATAACACAAAAAATATTACAATACTCGAAATAGAAATCCAAATCCACTCAAAAGTTTTATCCATACTTATCCAATTATGGAACTAAAATGGCGATTTGCCGAGGCCGATGACCTTGAGCCCGTTGTTGCGTATTTTAGTTTTATTCTTCACGCAAAATCTTATCGAAGATATTCAAATTAAATGCTGTGTACGTATGCAGTTAGATGTATTATTGATGTCATTCATTACATTTGGCTGTTACAGTAGTATTTTAAATGCAAAACAACTCAAAATGTAATGCGGTGACGCGCGATATGGGTGACGATGTTTATAACAGATTAATTTCTACCCTAAATCTTTGTCTGACACTCAAGTCATGAATTAAAAACTGTTTATTGTTTACCCTTCCATGATAGGTAAACAATATATTGTCCAATTTCACTTAAAAACACCTTCAAACCATAAAAACACTTGGGTCTATAACACAACCACACGACTACAAACGGCTCCGCATAGACTAAACAATACTCATGTTACCGGCGGGAATTTGTTTAACATGTGGTGGTATATTCTATCCTTGTCGTATTCCCCGTATGTTTTGCAAGTTAGAACAGTAAAGATACACATTCCAACGCTTATTTTTGTAATTAAAATACGGCGGCAACGATCGACCAGCAGCTGGCGTCCGACAGATGAGCACGATTAGATATCGACCAGGAGATGGTCGATCGACAGTCGAGGGGGTAGACAAGCGCTAAAGTGGCGTTTGGCTAAAGGCCCAGGAGCGGTTGGTCGTTATGTCACGCTACCCTATAAAATATAGTAAATCGTGACGACACACGATATTTCAAATCAATATAAATCGTCTAGAGTATTTAATTTTGTAAGAAAAAAATCTTGGATAATGTTTTAAATAATCTATCAGAGGGACATTGAAATAAAATTTTAGTATGCTACCCTATTTGATATACACATCACACCCAAACCCGGGACAACGATTTGTTGAACAAAAAAGTGTTCCATGCATGAGGGAGTCAAAAATTGCATAATTATTTGGACTCAGAATCTGATTAACACGTTAACCCCTCGAGCGTCCTTATGAGCACCCGGTGGATCATAAGAAAAAATGCTCCATACTGCTTTCTCTTTTATAAAATCTATTATTAATGTTTTGTTTTTATTTTGACTGTATTTGTTTTATTTCTATTGTAATGATCCTTGTTTTCGTGTGCCAATGGCGAAATAAATGCATTTTCTTTCTTTCTCCAAATGTCACGTATGCACCCGTTGGATCATAAGAAACGCGGACGCTCGACGGGTTAACCGCCGCGTAGGTCACCGGTGACCTACGTTAGCGGAGGATTTGCCTTCAGCAGTTTTCTGTTGGCAGTCAAAGGCTTAAGGGCTTTATTTCATCAGGACACCATGGCGGTGCAACCAGTGAGTCAGTACGCCACCAAACTGGACACCAGAGTCGCCACAGGGCACTGAAATAGTGTCAATATAGAATAATGCTGGCATCCGAGCTAAATAAAGAAATTAGTTTCAAAGTGTAAATTACAGATCTTGTAAATTTTATATGATACACCTTATGTTCATACAAAAGTAGTCTCTAAACATCGGAAATACGCTCGGACGGCGCGTCGCGTTCCGCGCGCGCCTTAAACTGTCAAACACCAAGCGGTCACCGGTGGCCGCGACCTATTGTTCTTTAATTGTGTCTATAAAACCGGTACTCGACGAGTTAAAGAGCCATCAGACCACCACGGATGGGGCCCAACAGGGCTGATGCCGATACGGAGTCGCGGAGAACGTAAAAGGTTACCAGGGCTCCGGCTCGAAGTACAGGAGCAGGAACGGGGTGGTTTTTAGTCAGTAAGAGTCTGACACTCCCTCCCGCCTCACCCGGGCGGGAGAAGTCATTCGATGATATTCCCCCTTTAAAAAAAAAAACATCGGAAATAAGGTCTATAATGGTGTAAGTGGAAAGCGGTCACCAGTCACCGCTTGGATTCTCACATAATAATTAATATACATAAAATTGATACAATATTTAATGTAATTGAGTCAGGATAATCAAAGTATCGACGAGGTCGCGCCGGCAGATTGGTTGCGCTACCAAGCAGACACCAGTTGAGTAACTCTATAGAGCTGCATACATTTTGTTTGTGGCGGCCACTGGTTGCGATGCCATGGTGACCCGGTGATAGCAATAACAGTCTAGTGTTAATCTTAAAAACTAATTAGCTAAAGATCAAAATTAACTGTTTGTCACATCGAAGTGTTCTTAGCGCCAAGCCCCTTACTTTGACGACCCCCATATACAATGCAATTGGGGCAAAGTAAACATTTGATAAAACAATGCTGTTTTATAACATAACAATTTACATTTTTTTTTCTATCGCGGTAGAAATCCTCGCGGATCTTCCACGTCGTGGGGGTGACGGGGCCGGACTCTGAAGGCTAAAGTTACTGCAGCGTTCCTCCCTGTGGCCGTGACCCGAGTCGCCCTAACATGATTACCGCTGTGTTTGCGGCAGGTCCCGCCACGATAGCTGGGTGATTCTCAAAAAAAAAAAATTAACGGCGTCGTTATCCTTAAGCCAAAGTTAACAATTCTACTGATTAAAATACAAAGTTTAATTTCAAAAAATTGAGCCGTGTCACTGCTCTCACCCAATCCAATAAAATACAGATGCTAATAAGTTACTGCGATTCTTAACACCGCGGGAGGATAATGATTTGTTAAATAAAAGTTTTTTGAAGAAACACCCAGCTGCCCTAGGAGGCTATCTCAACAATATTTACATAAATCAACTAAAAATCGCGGGTTACTCACGTGAACATACTGAGAAAAGCTCTACTAGTTTCGCGTGTGATGTCCAGCAGAGGGCGCGGTGGGCTTACAGCGCAAGGAACAACACTGACGCAAGCGCCGACGCTAACCAGTTGGAAGAATGCTGCTCATGAGGAAGAATCCCTCTGTGGTTCGAAACTAGTAGAGCTTTTCTCAGTATATTTACGAGAGTAACCCTCGATTTTTAGTTAATTTAGTATGTCTCACGATAGTTATTATAAAAATATTTACATAAAATATATAATGTAACTAAAACTGTAACGTCCTGGGCATGTCGGTCTACACGAAATTTTTATAGTATTTTTCTATTAGAAAAATACAAATAGAATTGGTACATTAAAGAATTGTTACCTATAGCACTGATGTTCTAAAAGTATTCATTTTATTATTAGTTATAGCAATAAAGGACTGCGCTTTAAAATGTATTGTATTTTATTTTAATTTCTTTAGTAGCATTTACCCATGACCTCAAAATTCCCGTACCAAATCTCCAATCCTCAAAGATCGGCAACACACGCCATTATTTACTGGACACTGTATAATAAAAAAAGTATCAGTAAAGTATAGATTATTACATTAATCCTAATTTACCAATCCACAGCAACCCATCCTTTGTCTCCATTGTCCAAAATAGTTCTACACTAACCGGGGAATGTCGTCAGGTGCATTTCCTTGGTGCATTCAGGGATTTTTTTTAAGGGAGGAAAATCATCGAATGTCTGCTCCCGCCTGGGTGAGGTCAGACTCTTACTGACTAAAAACCTCCCCGTTCCTTCTCCTGTACGTCGAGCCGGAACCCCGGTAACCCGTTAGGTTCTCCGCGACTGCATACAGACAGGGATAGTCGCCGG